CACACTCTATCATCTTTAGTACCACTGCTTATGCAATAGTTAAAAAATATTAATCAAACCAATTTACTGTTTTGGATATTCTTAAGGAGGCACAAAGGAATTATAAACAAAACTACTCTTGCTATTATACTGAAAAAGGCCTTTCTCCATGAACAACAGTCTTCCCTAGTTAAGATGTTATAGATCATCTTCTCTTTCTCTTTCTGGAAGAGAGGAAGCACAGAACGAGGCATGATGGACTTAACCATGTCATTCAAAGGACTCTGCAGGTTAATTCACGGGGAGAACTCCTTCTCAACATAAATGCCATGTGCTTCTCCCACTAAGAAGGTTCTGTCTTGGTAATGATGAGGGGACTAATCAATTTGGGGGATGGAAAATCATTTTAAACACTGAAATTTATAGTTTAAAATGCCCTTAAATTTTAATGACATCCTAATTTGTAAAAATAGAATGTAGGTATAATACCTATTTGCATCTTTTCATTATAATATGCCCTCAATCAATCAACAAAATGGAAGTTTTCTGTTTTCTTAAAGAAAAGTGTCCACATTTTTTAAACCCATAACTGAAATAAAAGGGTGATTTTGTTTTTCATAAACACTGTCAGGCACTTGTGACCTCCTTCAGGATCCTAAAAGAACAGATCATTCAAGTTCTATTTCTGATAGCCTAGTTATAAACAAACCAACACACAATGCAGGCCTCAGAGTACAATTTGTTTCTGAAAGCTCTAAGCAGAGATTTTTTTTTTCTTCTATTACATGCCCTTATGATTCCTTCTTCCTGATGTTAACAGTAAATGTTGCAATATTCTATGTAAGTGATTGTTGGACTGGAAAAAGAAAGAAACTCTAATGCAAGTATTTATACCTTCAGCAATGAAAACAAGATATTATTGTCTTGTATGACCTTTCCTAAGTATGGGATACAGCATTTTACACAATAGTTTCTTGGTTCATGCTTCAATTACTGACCTTTACTGTGTAGAAAATTAATGCAATTTTCATTGTAATCCACCCGTACAAATAAGGTTCACACAGAAGGATTCCACATATGGAATCTAATACAAATAGGAAATGTCAACTGATTGCTGTTGGCTGAACTTAGCCATTATCTGTTTGTTCTGGAGTCCCTAGAAAACTAGACTTGTAACTAGCAATTACTTACACGGACTATCAGGTATTAGAAAGAAGAATTTCCTTCCTTCAAAGTTTGGCCTGTATGTTTCATTTCCTAAAACCTTCAAAAACCTAGTTACCTGAAAATTCTATGTTATCATGGAAAGTCCACAAGACAAGAAGGCAAAATTGTGAAGTCTAATCTGGTTTTGAATACAGGTTACTACCATGTACTTTTCACAATGAGAAGAAACAAGAGGCTACAGTGATGTCATTTTACAACAATCCCTGCTCCAGACAATAAAACTATGACAGACCCCAGACTGTGTCCTGGTCTGTGCATCAGAGACAGGCAGACATGGGAATGCATTAATCTCCTGAGGAAGTTGTGCCAACAGGGCCCAGCAAGCTTTCATCTTCCAAGTCATCTGAGATGGTATTTGGTGGGAAAAGGCACTGGCAATTAAAGAGTGTCACCTTCAAGATGGATAGTTTGGGTAGAAAGGAGTTTCTCTCCTCTTCTGTTTCTGAACAAAACGACTGTATGTTTATAATTTGCAAACTGTTCACCTCTCACTGGGCATGTTACAGTTTCCAGAAGCATGGTCTGTCATGTCTAAAGAGCAACAGAAACCAGAAGGGCTCTGTGGGTAGGACCTTTCCTATAGCACAGGATGGTGGGGAGTCATGCAGCGACTGTGTGTCCAGGACTATGATGAGCACATCTCAGTGGTGAGGCTGCAGTACTCATACACAGAGAAGAAACAATGCAATGTGCACTCAAGGATTCTTTTTTTTTTTTTTTGAGTTGGAGTCTCACTCTGTCGCCCAGACTGGAGTGCAGTGGCCGCTCCCGGCCACCGCAGCCTCACCTGCTGGGCTCCAGCGATCCTTCCGCCTCAGCCTTCTGAGTAGCTGGAATTACAGGCACACGCTACCATGACCGGCTAATTTTTTGATTTATTGTAGAGATGAGGTCTTGCCAAGTTGCCCAGGCGTGTCACGAACCCGCGGGCTCAGGCAATCCACTCACCTCAGCCTCCCAAAGGCGCGGGATTACAGGCTGAGCCACCGAGCCCGGCTTCAAGGATTCTTAAAGTTAAAAATCTTCTAGTTGGTCCAAATCTCTTAGAGAAGGGAGAGTTAAGGATATAGACAAGAACTAAAAAAATCTGCCCGTCTCCCCTAACAAGGGTTGTGTCAAACAGAAGAGGGATAAATAAAAGTCAAAATTTCATTTTAGATTTATTCCTCTAGAAGATTTCTTAGAGATATAAAATTGAGGAAGAACAACTATGGTCATACTTTGCCTATTAAAAGACTTATTAAAATATAATAAAACATAATAAGAACACAGTTGCCCTAGAGTGGTGGTCCCCAGCCTTTTGTCAAAAGGGACCAGTTTAGTGGAAGACAATTTTTCTGTGGCTGTTGGGGGAAGAATTTGGAATCATCAGGCATTAGATTCTCATAAGGAGCACGCAACATAGATCTCTCGCATGTGTAGTTCATAATAGAGTTCATGCTACTATGAGAAGAATCTAAAGTCCCAGCTGATCTGACAGCAGACAGAATTCTGCTGACCTGAAGGCGGTTTACCTCCTGATTCCTAACAGGCCACTGGCCAGTATTCATCTGTGGGCCGGGGGTTGGAGAGTCCTGCCCTAGAGGAAATACGGAAAGCCCTAGTGCCAATACCCTCAACATGGGACAGGTTCACATACTGTTGTGTGTTGGGACGTTCTGAGATGAACGCAACAGCTTCTATACTCATCCTTATAGATGCTGCTGTTCTAACTCTTTCTCCATCATCCTTACCCAGAAAGGTTTGAAGCCCAAACGCCTAGGTAGCTTTTGAGTACACCAGTGTTAGACTAGACCTTGAGCATCGTTGGTCCAGATCCTATGGCTTGATTTTGTTGCCTCCCAGTTATGCAATATCACTTTTTCATTCATTGTCTTCTTGTTGGATACTCTATTAGATGAGTCAAAGACACATGGTCACAATGATGCCTAAAGGGTGAGGGTATCCTCTTCCACGGATGGATCTTTTAAACAGACTTGTCCAAGCAGAAAAAAATATTCCTTACATTCAAGCCTTGGTTTGTTAATATTTAGAATTTTGCCTACTGTGATATTGTGATACAATAAAAATTTATATTTAGTCTTTGTCCCTAGTTCCTGGCACGTAATTCCCCAAATCCTTGAAATTTCCTAGGTGATAAGAGTGATGGGAACATCTTTTACAATATTTGGTTTTGTCCCCAGATCCTGAAATAGCTCCAGTGCTAGAAGGGTGAGAGGAGCAGGAGCATCTCTTGCTATTCATAACGAGCCCCTTTCAACCACACTTGAGTTTATGTTAATAAGGTGACTTTTGGAAAGCTGCTAAGCATGGGAGCTGCTTGCCAGAGGGACCAACCATATGATTAGTGGGTTAGAACTTTGCTGGTCCCCTAACTCCAGGGTGGGGAGAGGGACTGGAGACAAACTTAATCACCAATGCCCAATGATTAAATAAATCATGCCTATAAAGGAAGCCTCCATACAAACAAACAAAAAAACAGTGTTCAGGAAGTTTCTAGGTTGGTGAACACACGGAGGTGCTGGGAGGGCGCAGTGCCCAGAGAGGTCAGGGAAGCTCCACGCCCCTTTCCATACCTTGCCCTGTGCATTTCTTCCATGTGGCCGTTCCTGAGTTGTATCCTTTATGATAACCAGTAAATGCAAGTAAATATTTCCTGAGTTTTGTGAGCTACTTTAGGAAACTGTCAAACCCAAGGAGGGGTTGTTGGAACCTCCGATTTGTAACTGGTCAGTCAGAAGGACAGAAGGCCATGCACTTGCAGTTGTTACCTCGTATAAGTTTAAAATAATTTCCTTAATACCGTGAGTTTCTTTGGTAAAACAGCCCATTCTAAACTTGAGCTTGCTTATGACCATTTATATTTGGTGACTTTATCACTCAGAAACCACTTATATAAATTCAGCAAGAAGAGAAATGCAGACCTCTATTCTGAAAAAGGTCACTTTCCTTTTAAAAAAAATTGTACTTTATTTTGTTATTTTGCTATTAATGATAATCTTAGCACAACAAATAAGATTTACTTTGTAATCCACCCCATTTGCTTCAAATAGGCAAAACCATCTGGTCTACTCAATTAATTTTAGGGCTCTTTGTGTCATAGAGCTGGTGTCATTGAATTAATTTCTATTCTATGGGCATTTATATTAGATACTTATTCTTAAGGTTTTTCCTTCTGCCCTTCTCTCTCCCACAAGCCTCCTATTGCTGCCATTACTTGCCCCAGATACCCACAGGTTTTAGGGGACTGGAAGTCCATTAAGCTAGTAGCATCTCATTTGGCACTTCACTTTTTCCATTTTATTCCAGAAGGTTTGTCTGAAAGCGTAATGACAACAAAAGCAGCAGATTTGAGAGATTTTCCCAGGAGAAGAAAAAGGACAGATGTACATAGACATATAGCTGAAAACGCTGCCAGCAACAGCTGGGGAAGTGACAGGCGCGGAAGTGGGTGACCACCCCACAGAGTGCAGACATGAACCTAAAGGAACAGCAATTTCACTTGATTTACTTTTGACTTCCTAGGCTACCTTTTATCTACAAAGGGGAAGGCTAATCTTGGCTTGCATCCAATGAAAGGCCTCCTATAGGTATGTTTTTTATAATATTTCAATTATTCCTTCTATTTTACCCCTTTCAACCTCATTTTTAACAATCTTAAAAAGGAATAGCCTTTTAAAAATTACAATAACATTACGCTCTATAATACTTAAGAGAGAGAGAGAGAGACTCAACCTGGAAGAGCACGCTCTGCTGCCAACGTTAATTTTTTTAATGCTCTTGAAGTCACTCACCTTGTCATCTTCATCCTCCTCATCATCTATGTCAGTGCTCTCCTGAAAGGAAACCCCACAATGTGTTCTTAAAGCATTTACTGAAATTAACAAATGCAAATTAACACAGACACTCTTTAATGTTCTTCTACAGATTAAGCATTAGTATTTTTAAAATGCATTATAACCTCTTTAAAACAACACATTTGAGGTTCAGAGGGACTGTAGCAAGACTCTAAACAGTGTGCATAATCTACATAAAACTGAAAACTATAAATACAGCTATTAGGGCAGTGCCCTTTGAAAGCATCCAGCTTTAAAAATGCATTGCCGAGTTGTACTTTCTGTAAACAGTGTTGTTCTTATTCTGACAAATGAACCAAAATCTACGTTAAGGCTGAGAATACCATATTCCGTTTGTGCTAGGCTCATTGTTATAATGACTCCTCTTTCCCTTTGGGGCCATTACCGAAACATTAGACAGTAGAAAAGGCATTAGTCTGAATAAAATCAATCTTAAGAATAAGTTGCAGGTCTCTATGTGGTATTATTATTTTGCTTGGGCTTCAAGGTTGGAAGGGGCAGGTGAGGAAAGGAAACTCAAGGCTCTGATCTGAACTCAAAGGTGCCTTCAGGTACTGCAACACCTGCTGTGCTGCTAATGGGCTTGTTCAGATTAGCTTAAAAATCTCAATTATTTAATAGGGAAGTTTTGATCATAGCCCTGCAATGTTTAAAAACTAACACATGTTGGTACACAATCAAATGGGTTCCGTAGTTCGGAAAGAACATTCAATATTAAACATCAGGGTCTATTTTCAGCTTGAACACTTATGTTTCTGCTTAACCTTGCAACGGTCAGGCATACTGTTTAAATGTCATTTTTTCAATAGTAAAACAAAAATTGTTAATATCATGTTTTTAAAAGAGAATACTCTGTTATATTCCATAAAATCACTGAGCAGTCATCAAGAAATTTCTCCAGGGCTGGTTCAGTCCTAACTCCCAGAATTCTCATGAGATTCAACTAGCAGTTTTTATGACACTCACTGATCCTCTGGGGAACTAACCTATTCACTATTGGCAGCAAGCGTGTCTCATGAAAGCCAATGGATAAACAGGAATAGAATGAAGACAGGTTATGGGAGAAAAATCAGTGTAATTAGGAGTTGGAAGTGTTCAGCGTGAGACACGGTTACTGTAGTGTTTTACTTTGTAACTTTGGGCATATCATTTGCTACTATGAGCCACAGCTTCATCAAGCATAAAATGAAAATAGGTCTTGCCTACTCCACCGTTGTATAATCAAGACTAAATTAGGTAATAAATTTGAATATGTTTTGTAAATTAAAAAGGATTTATGTATATACAAGCATGTACAGGTATATGTACATGTCCACACATACTTGCACATATGCACATATACACACAATGTAAACATACATCATACACATTGCAGACAAAATAAAATCTGACTAAGCATTGTCAAAATGCTATTTGACAGCATTTTTTTTTTTTGAGTTGGAGTCTCATTCTGTCGCCCAGGCTGGGGTGAAGTGGCATGCTCATGGCCACCGCAGCCTCGACCTTCTGTCTCAGCCTTCCAAGCTGCCGGAACTACAGGCGCATGCCACCATGCCCAGCAATTTTTTGATTTATCATAGAGATGAGATTTCACCAAGTTGCCTGACTGGTCTCAAATCCATGGGCTCAGGCAAAACTCTCACCTCGGCTTCCCAAAGTGCTGGGATTATAGGCGTTAGCCACCATGCCCAGTCAGCAATTTTTTTTAGAGCTGCTTCTTTGTAAAAATTTCCCTCATTTATACCGCTGTGAAACCTAGTCCTTAAATGGACCTCAACTTTAAAACCATTTATTTATCAGTTGGTTTTACTATCTCACTGATATGGGTCCATACCTATTGCATTAAAAAATCAAGATCAAACAGAACATAATTTTGAAGTTGCCTAAAGTTTTACCTCCTGTCACAACACTCATTCTTCCCACCTTCCCTCCATCCTAAATGAAACCAGAAACATCCCTTAAACTGCCATTATTTCAAAGATGATCTTTTTTTAAAATGAAGACATAAGAAAACATAGGCAAAAATAGTCAGCATTTGAGTTCTGGGAAACTCGATATGAAGTGATCTGTCTCAAAAGAAAATAATCAAGTCTCAGAACTTTAGATTTTTGTTTTAAAAACATGGTTCTTAGCCAGGTTCGGTGGCTCAGCCTGTAATCCCGTGCCTTTGGGAGGCTGAGGTGAGTGGATTGCCTGAGCCCGTGGGTTCGAGACCCGCCTGGGCAGCGAGACCTCATCTCTACAATAAATTAAAAAATCAGCCGGGCGTGGTAGCGCATGCCTGTAATTCCGGCTACTCGGAAGGCTGAGGCAGAAGGATCGCCGGAGCCCAGCAGGTCGAGGCTGCGGTGGCCGGGAGCGGCCACTGTGCTTCAGTCTGGGCGACAGAGTGAGACTCCAACTCAAAAAAAACAAAAACAACAACATAGTTCTTGAATCTGGAATGCCAAGATTACATTATAAAGTAAGTCTATAAATACAAGTTCCTCCCCAGCTAGAGGAGAAAAAGGTTCTGTGGGGTGGGATGAAGGGGCAGGGACAGGAGAGTCGGAGAAAAGAAGAAACTGAGAGAAGGGGTCTTGTTTGTGCTTTCTTCAAAAGGACAGGGAGTTTGAGAATTTCAAGCCAAATTTTGGCAACTGAGAAGAGTTGGGTCGATGCCCACCCACCTTCTGATTTCCTCCGAGAATCTCCTGAGCCTTCAGGCCAGAGAGAACATTGCATGAGGTGCCAGGATGGAATCGGTACCCTCCTCCTCAACTCCCAAAGTACTCTGAATGTTCTGGAGTGGCTCTGAGAGCCACCAAAGGTTCCTTCCTAGTGGATGAGGAGGTTATTCACAGAAACCTTTCAGAAAACCAGATGGACATGAAGACATGTGCTATCAGCAAAGAAATGGTGACTGTGAACCAGAGGGCCCTCTCATGCTAAGGTTGTATGTAGGCCAAGACTCTAGCACTTAAGATCCCACAAAAAAATACTGCAGAATACATCTGAAGAAAGATCTCCACTGCAAAACAGATATATTTGCAGGACTGCAACTTAGGTCTCAATGAGTCATGATTTTGTGTTTGTTATTTTTTGTTATTAACACATTTCTCTCCAGTCAAATGTCAGAGCTCTTTGCTTACCTGGCTATCCAGGATGCTGCTGGCCTTGCCTTTCATGGGTCTGATGAAATTGTAGACAAAGATCATCAATAATGCCAAGGGGATCATGTACAGTTCAAAATTCCAGACAGTCACCAAAAATACCTGATTGGAAGACAAGTAAGACCATATGACTGTTTGACAGTAGAGAAGCAATTCTAAATTCGTATTTGCTGCCTTAGAGAGATTAAATCTGGGACTTTCTATAGTAGCTTTTAGAAACAGTTCCAAACATATATTTATGATGATTAACTCAGTTATAGAACTGGTAGCAGAAAGAGTAAGAATATAGAATGAGCTGGTAAGTCTGGAATAGACAGATACAGTAGCCTCACACCTTGAAACCCCCTTACCCCACCAACACTATTATGCTTTTTGTTCATGGATTTCAGTATGCCAGAAATTAGAGGAAGCAATATGGAAAAAATCCAAGGTCACAAAGAGGTGAGCCATAGGCCAAATTTTGTCAACAGAGAGGTTTATTTAAACTAGAGAAAGTGATACTTCTTAAGTTGGCTGCCAAAGTAGAACAATCCAAATATTTCATATGAAGACTCTAGATTTCCAAATGCTTTTTCAAGATCTTAAAATCTACCAATTTTTAGACTGTACAGTCACAAGAAAATGATCAGCTAGCACTGTCTACATCAGAAAAAGTGTGCACTTATCTGCTCAGTTTCCATCAACCTCTGAAACTTGTAACTCCTCACAAAGAAGAGCAAGTGAGTTTGAGTTTTGATTAATCCAAGTGTCTAAGCTACAATTCTTGCTAGAGACATGAATGAAAACAAGAGATGGCTCTACCTTCAAGAAGTACACTAATTAGGGTAAATAAGAACACCTGATAATTATAACATGAGTGAAATCTTAAGCCTCATTTTTTTTTTTTTTTACAGGTAGTCTAGAAGATGAAATAAGGTAATTTGTGGTTATCAGCTGTCAGTTTGTAGATGCTTGAAAAAGTTACTGTTGTAACTTGTTAAGTTAGAAGAGGCAAATTACTGCATCTTAAATATTATATCTTCCATTTCAAAAGCAATATTGTTTTATTGCTAAAAACTTTTTCTAACATTTTTCAAAATATTTTGGTATTTATCGTATATTTTTGTTTATTATTATTATTTTGGTTCCTATTGTAAATGAAATAATTTTTTTCATTATATTTTTCTAACTGGTCATTATTTGCATATAAAAACATAATTTGTATATATTAGTTTTTTAAACTAGCAAGCTTACTGAATTTTTGTTGTATCATATAGTTTTTTATTTACTCCTCTGGGGTTAAGATTATAGTCATATAATTTACAAATGAGAAATTGCTTCTGTTTCCTATTTTCTATTATTTGTAACTTTGCTTTTTCTTGTTTAATTTAATTACTCCTGCAACACAATGTTAATGATGAGAGACATATCATTGTTTAATTTCTGGCTTTAATAGAAATGCTTCTAGTGTTCCATTTTCTACTATTAAGCTTGATTTTGACTTTCTGTCTGAGCTACAGAAATCATTTACACACACATAGAAACTAGTTTCAATACCAGAAAATTTACATACAGGTAATCATTTTATTTCTTTATGTCTTTCAAATATTTTATAAATATTCCTGTATTTGCTCTAAAAGTAATGAAAATATTTTTAAAACAAGAATACTAGTTTTAAATATTAGTTCCAACAATGGATTAATTATTATTTTTAAAATCAGTAATGGATGGTGGCTAATCAACTACTCTTTTTTAGTATCTTTTGAGATGATGAGGAGGGTTTTTTACTTCTCATTTTAAAACATCCATATGGTGTACTGTACTTATAATTTCATAACATTGAACAACCTTGTATTTCTGGGAGAAACTTTATTGACATATAATCATATTTTAATAAATGTTGTATTTTATTTGTAAAATAAAGATTGTATTTTATTTGCTAAAACCAGAAGATGTTTTGCTAAAAACTCGTGAGTTACATTTATCTACACTTGCTTTGTGAGTTCTTTACAAATTTTGGTATTAGGATTATTTTGAGGCCATATAAAATTTAAATCTATTCTTTCTCTATACCTCAGATATTTTTATATTGTATTGCCAAATATTACAAGAATACAAAAAAATACATAAACTAATTTAACAAATACGTATACACCCCTTTCTCAAGCATTAAACTTATTAATGTTCTTGCTGCCATCTTTTTTTTTCTTCTGATTTACTTATTGTTCTTCCATTTCACAAAACAAAACAAAAAGTTCAAATAGTTGGTCCTTATCATTAATCCTCCTCAGTCCTATTTCTCTCATTTCCAGAGGTAACCTTGTCCTAAATTTGATGCAAATCCTTTCCATCTGAGGATGCCTTAGGTTTATATTAGCAATAACATAAACAGCATAAAAATATTCATATCACTCTGCAAATAGTTTAACCAATAGTATGTTTTATAGTTCATGTGGTAGTGTATGCATTAATCAAGAACATTCATTGTAACTAATATAGTTCCCCCTGAAATGAATATTCTGCAATTTGTCCATTATACTCTCTTATCAGTGCAAACTCAGGATGAAGCAGTAATTTTTTATTTTAAGTAGTAAAATATATTAGTCTTTAACATTAGGATTTATGCCTTTACTGTTTCAATGTTCTACTTAAGAAATCATATTCTATTCTGAGATAATAAAGCTATTCTCTTGAGTTTCTTTCCAAGAGGTAACTGTGTGTGTGTTTGTATGATCTTTATTCTCTCTCAACTTTTGTTTTAACTAAAAACAAGCATCTAGTTTCAAATTTTTTCTTGTAGATAATCTTTTACAACCAAATTCCCATAACAATCTTTACTTTTCTCACTGATCTGCATTGCCACTTCTGTTATGTAACAAGTTCCCACATGAGTGTGTTTGTTGTTTGTGGGCCCTTTAAATTCTTTTCTTAATATATTTTCCTATTCTTTTAACAACACTACATTTTTAAGTAATTTAAAAACCAGATAATATCTAAGAAGGAAAGTCTTTATTACTACAACCTCAAAATTATCTTGAATTTTTCAGACTTTTACTCTTCCACATGTATTTTAGAATCAATTTATAGTTTTATGCAACTCTTGGTAAAATTTTGAGATGCTGTTGAATTTATATATTCATTTGGAGATAACTGGCATCTTGATATTGACATTTCTATATGAAGATTGTTTATTTTTCTGTATATTCAAGATTTCTTTTACATATAAAAATATTTTATTACTTTCATCCTACTGATTTTGCATATTTTATTATTTTTGTAAGTAAATTAGAGATTTGATACAATTGTAAGTGGTAATAGTACAATTTAAAAATTTATACATTTTTAATTAATGTTGGGTACAAGAACAAATTATGTATATATGTGGTACACATTCTTTCTAAGTCTTCTTATCAGATATAGGAGATTGCAAATTTTTTTGGAGATCTGATGTAGAAAATCAAATAAACAGCAAATCATGACAATTTTCCTTTTGCCTTCCAATTTATATGTTACTTATATTTTCTTTTAGTGCTAAATGTCTTTACTTTTTTATGTGCAAGTGTGGAATTTTTGGAATATTTTTTGGATCATGAAGATTTCCATGTTGACTTCCTCTAGCTTATTAATCTGGCTTACTTCATTAACTTTCTTTTACTGACTATTTTATATTATAAAATATAAAATCTTTTGCTATCATTTTCTATATTTTCAAAGGTTTCTTTCATTTTTGGTTTTGTTTTATAAAATAAAATATAACAAAAAATAGAGCAAACAGTTCAAATATAACAAAAAATAGAGCAAAAGAAATTACCTAGTAATTTCTTTACTAGGTAAAGCTAGAAATGTTTGTTTTACCTATTTTCCTTTTACTAGTCTTAATTTTTTGGGAGATGAGGAGTTTTAACTATACACTAACTAAATTGGTTGTTGTATTAGGTATAGTTAAGCAATCCTAGATGTGTTTTACGAAAAAAAAAAATTGAGTTGATTTAAATACAACATTCAAACAACCAAAAAGTCTTTCAGAATGAGACCATAGTGCCTTTAGATCTATTTTTTAAATTAGTGCATGACTTCCTCTTCTGACATATAACATTAATTTCCTAACAGGAAAACAAATATTATAAACCCTATTTTTTTTAAGGGTCAATTATATGAGCATCTGTAGGAAAATTGAAACTGTGAAAGAATAAATCAGATCTACATGGGGACACTTAAAAGTTTATGCATCTTTAACCCAAGAGCAGCAGCAGACACAGTGGTGGTAGCAGTTGGTTAAAACTCCAGTGAGGCTGAGGTAAGAAGATTGCCTGAGCCCACAAGTTCGAGACCAGTCTGGACAACTTCATGAGACCTCATCTCTACAATACATCACAAAATAAGCCAGGCATGGTAGCGTGCGCCTGTAGTTTCAGCTACTTGGAAGGCTGAGGCAGAAGGATCACCCGAACCCAGCAGGTCAATGCTAGGGTGGCCATGAGCATGCCACTGCACTCCAGCCTGTGTGATGGAGTGAGACTCCAACTCAAAACAACAGCAACAACAACAACAACAACAAAACCCCAAAAAACTCCAATGAAACACTTGCCATGTTTCTGAATGGAGTAAAACAAGCAAAGTACTCAGGGACAACCAGGGCCATCAGAGGGTGCAGAGGTGCACTGAAAGGACAGTGCAAGCAAAGAAAAATCAAATTCTGTATGTGATTCTCTAAAGTTACTGGCATACACATGGGGCACACTCAAAACAGCCTGATTTGAGATCAAAGTTACCACAACAAGAGGTATGACAGAGTTTGCAGTTTGAGTCTAATAAAGTTAATGCCTTCTTTTTAAAAAAAAAAAAAAATCAAGCTTGTTTAGAAGAATGTAGCAGAATATAGAGTCTCCATAATATTTCCAGCATCTAGAATACAATACAAAATCACTCAACATACAAAGAATCAGAAAAAAATGGAATCCATTTTTTAAAAAAAGACAATCAACAGATGCCAACTCCAAGGTGAGCATTATGTTAAAGTTATCAGACAAGAACTTTAAAGAACCTGGTAAAAATATGCTTAGTGAGGTAATGAGAAATAAACTATTAAAGAGTAAGATAGGAAATATAAACAGACAATATAA